TTTGCAATGAAAAATAGATTTTATTGCATTAATTTTTGAAAAGAAATGAATTTTAGTTATTTTTCTATAATTATTTTGCAAGTTGGTTTCCCAAAATAGGAATCAGATGCAAGTTGGTTCCCCAAAATGACGATTTTGAAAGTTGGTTCCCCAAAATAGGAATCAGGTCCAAGTTGGTTCCCCAAAATGACGATTTTGAAAGTTGGTTCCCCAAAATAGGAATCAAGTGAAAGTTAGTTCCCCAAAATAAAAATTAAGTGAAAGTTGGTTCCCCAAAATGACGATTTTGAAAGTTGGTTCCCCAAAATAAGAATCAGGTGAAAGTTGGTTCCATTTTGATGCAATTTTCCCTATTTACAATTACTTAACTTTTTTTCTAAAAAAGAATTGTTAATTTTCGTCAATGTATCATATATAATATTGATTATAGTGGAAAATGTAACAGCCCATCCTACTAAACTTAAGATGAGACATGTCACAACCGAAAACGGATCAAAAGTCTACCATTTATAGTACAGAGCTCTAATGGAACTCACAAAAAAAACATTACAACCATTATATTACATAGCACTAACATAATCACCTAATAGCATAGCAAAAACACTATATTCAACCGCTAGTCTTTTAGAATCCTAAGCCATCTCGACCCTTCATCCTGCCCCTAAGTTAGATCATGAACCTGCCGAAGTAAAACAAAACAAACCTTGACTGAGCAAAAATTGCCCAGTGAACGAATAATAGCAGAAGAATATCAAATATGAATAAATAACTGAAAGGAAACATTACAATACAAGTGAAATCAATTTAAGTGTAAATTTCTAAAATTTGAAAGTTATATAATAAAAAATATATTCAAGGTAAGAAGGTCATCCGTATTATTAGGATACGTTGTTCCCGATGGATGATCAGTCCAATCAGGCGTCGTAATGGAATGGAAGTGTCGGGCACTACACCATCACATTCCCCGGTAACCAAAGGTATCTGGTATTCAGCTCTATCCGGTAACCAATATAATTGGTATTCGGCTCTATTCGGTATTCGGTTCTATCTGGTATTCGGTTCATAGGATTCATCCAACATTCTCTATTTGGCTTGGCCGTAGCCTTTATGAGAATGCCATGACTATTTTAGCCATCATGGGGGCGTCTCAACACCCGTGCCCCGAGTATTGAGCCTATTCAAAGTTAAGTCAATAAACTCAAACTCAAATAACCAAATCAAGAACCAAACATTTGATAATAAGTCTAATAAAACCATTGAGGTTCCAATTTATATAAAATCGATCATGAGTCTTAAAACGTACCGGTAATAGTTTAGATTTATCAGGTACACAAAATTTATAAACCAAAACATCATATATCACATAAAAGAATTTTAGATACCAATTTGATCATCTCCCCTTTTGTGGACATGTGTCATGATTAAGATTTCATAGAATGAATAATCACCACAATTGATTACCCACATATCAAAATAAAGTATATATTCGTACCTTGAAAGTGTTTTAAATATGATCAAACAAAATTCGAGACTTATGAATGATTCCCTCCTTTCAGATTACCTACACTTATCAGAAAAAGGGCTTTTAGACCATTTTAAATAACAATTCTCATCAACTTCAAGTTCCTACAAGCTATTACCTTTCATAGAACTTATGGACCTTCAAGCATGCTTAACATACCACTAGGACACTTAGTAAACATATAACACAATGCCTARGACTAAAGACAACATTTGCTAAAATCAAATTTACACAATCCAAACAGAAGCTAACTGGTTATGTACATAAAAGTTTAAGCCTTTTTTCTCATACTTAGAAGCTGAACTAAACTTTCTTATAAAACTGAAAGTTGTACATATACCTCTTACGATTTCATACCAACTGGATTCACATAATTTGGAGTTCTGGTCTATTTTATACATAATTTATACAAACAGAGTGCAATTTCGAGTGGCTGCAGACAGGATCTGGAAAATCGAAGATTTCAAGCCATGTATGGTTTGAATTAGGTTTCTCAGTAAGCTACAAAGTTGTAGATAACTCAAACACCTTTCTAACGATATAAAGAACGCATCAATCGGACAAACGGTTGATTTTATATGAATTTTCAAACTTACTGAAACGAATCTGCCTCCTCTAACAGCACCAACTTGAAGAAATTTCATCAATCTTCAATTTTTAACCTATGAATTATGAATCAACTTAGGGTTTAACCATTGCCCTAAAGAATAAGAAATCAGAAAAATAAACTATAGACATACCTTATCTTGAGTTCCTAATTCCAATTATAACATCAATTCTTCACAAAACTCAAAGATTTAAAAAGAAATCCCTAGGTTTATAGAGATGAGATGAAGAATTTTTAGAGAGAGGTACGAGAGATCTTAGAGTTAGAGAGAGGAAGAAGCCTGATTTTGTTTTTAAAAAATAACAATTTCCTATTTATATTTCCAATATTTACTATCTAACCCTTGATCTTAAGTTTATTAACAATATAATCATACTTTGACAATTTCCTTTTCAATTTTGGTCCTAACCAAGATTGTTCTAACCAACTTACAACTCAAATGAATTTTATGAAAATAACTAGGCTTATAAAAACTAAGATATAAAACACTAAATCACATTTTCACACTTGAACAAAATTGGTTCTCGATCAAGAGATTAGATCTACCAAATACGGGGTATTATAGAAAATCAGTTGTGATATTGATTAATACATTACATATGATATTTGTAAATTATGAATTATATTTTGAATTACATGTGATCTTATATAATTTAAATGTGTTTTACTACACATTATAAGTGATTATGTTTTCATTATTTTTTCTTTTTTAATGTTTAATATGAATAATT